GCTACAGATAATTTGGTTTGTGGAAAGCATGGTAGAGTCCTTCAGAAAAAAAGAATTTATTGTGTTCAGGTTTTTTTTTTAATCTTGCTAGTGGTTTTTGTTTGTTTGTTTGTTTACTTTAAATAGATGTTAAATGATATTGAGATTATTGTTGATGTGTGTTCTATTGAGTTAGCAGTTTCTGAGTACTTTTCTTATAGATTGTTTCTCTTGATTAAAAAAGTAAGTGGAGCTGAGCATGGTTGTAATCCCAGCAGCTGGGGAGGTTGAGGCAGGAGGATCATGAGTTCAAAGCCAACCTCAGCAAAAGCAAGATTCACTAAGCAACTCAGTGAGACCCTGTCTCTAAATAAAATACAAAATAAGGGTGGGGATGTGGCTCAAATAGTTGAGTGCCCCCGAGTTCAATCCCCACTACTCAAAAAATAAAATAAGCGGATTGACTACAATCAATTGGGAAACAAGAATTTAGAATATGTAATGGTTGGATTTTATCAGAAAAGAAAGCTCTCTACATAGACAGTTTTCTGGCATGTAGAGTTTGTTTTCATATGAAATAGTAAAATACATATAATATATTAAGGAAGGTTTTTTATTTGGGGTGGGGGTAGTGGTGGTGAATGAAGAGCCTAAGCAATAAAGTCCAGTCTTTATTCAAGCAGAACACTTTCATTTTGTTTGATTTTTGTTTACCAATGTTCTTATGAAAACTGCTGTTAATGAGTACTTCAGCCAAGATAGTTTGCCTCTTTTTTGTGGCTTTCCTCTTGTGTTATACATCAGCACTGTGGTTATTACACCAGCTACCAGAACATCTCACATGACTTTAATGTATAAGCACTATCAGTCCACACCTTGCAATGTCTCATGTTTCCCTAAGAATTTTAAACAAGAAGTCACAGAATTTTGGAGCATGCATTTCTGAGTTGCTTGTGTTTAAATGTTTGATCTTATTCTTTGGTTTGGTTTGACTAGGGTTGAAATGATCAGAAGAAGTTGCATATTTCTATCCTTAAAGGTAATTCTTTAACCTGTAGCTCTAGCAAGGATCAGATCATTTTTCCCAGATAAATTTTGTTGCTCATATCTGTCTCTAGCTGTCAAACAGAACTCAACATATTCCCTAGTGACAATCAGTGGACCAAAGTATCTGAAAAGTCCTTTCTCCAGAGCTCTGGCTGCATAGAACTCGGCTTACAGAGGTGAATCTTTCCTTTGGTAAACCAGTCCTTTACTATTCTGTAAGGTTAGTTTGGCTTAGCTACTCCTCCCACTCTTCTGTAAAAACGATTTTCTTAAGCTAGTCTCTGTAATGGTTTGTTTTATTTTTCTGCTGAAATTAAATGCATGATATAATAGTTCACCAAAGATCTGTGGTGGTTTTTAGCAGAGGTTAAAAATATGTGCAGCAACAGTTAGATGGCAGTTTCTACTCCTGTGGGGTTTGCTCCATTTTCTTTTGATACTTCTTTGTAAAAGAAAAGGAAGTTGAAGCTTAGGCTATTTGCTTTTAATCAGAGGAATTTAATTAGAGGTCAATTCTGTTCCCATAAATTACTGTGCTAAGACCTTTTTGAAGAATTTTGAAAACTAAAAGCATATTGCTTACTGCTATTAGGAAATTTTAAATAAGAGGCCAAGCTATTTCTTGTTTGATCTTCCTAATGGCATGGTATTGTGGCAGAGAGCTTAAAAATGTTTTAAATGTGTTTTCAGTTCTTATGTTCTTATTAATTTTGTACTTAATTCTTGTGTTCTTATTAACTGTCCTTTAAAAAAAAAAAAGAGAGAGAGAGAGAACGAGAATAAGGTTGCAAGCCCATGACTTTGGTTGATATCTCTAGGGGTCAAAGTCTCTAAATCAGCCATGCATAGCCCTAAAACTGTAGCTGCAGATTGAGTCCAGTAACACTTAGTAACAAGTTGAACGTTTTTCAAGTAGGTACTTCAGTATGTTAACAAACATCCATGTGAACTATTATCACTAAGACTTGTGACCATAATATTAAAGTTTCAGCTGGATTGTTGATTTGGAGACATGTCTCAATTAACTGAAAACATGCATCTATGTGAAAAGTTCTAGAAATACATTTAAATTTTATTTCTGCTTTTATGATTCATCTAACAAAACTTTTTTAAGTCTTAAACGCTGGTCTTAGAACTTAAAAACTGCTAGTCTGTTTAAAAGTGATAGTGCCACTCGCTCTCTTGAAAACTGCCATTGGCTGATTCCCTATAGCTGTTGGAACTTGCAAGGAGAAGAGGAACAGGAAGGATCCAACTTGGGAATAAGTTCTGTCCACAGTGTTCTATCTGGTCACTTTGGCAGATTGGAGTTAATGGCAAGTTCTCAAGGAAATCCACTACCTCTTATATTGCACCAAAAATATTATAGATTTTCAGTAAAGCAAAAATATTGTAACTGGGATATATGATAATAAAACCTAATTTTAAATTGTTTTAAATTTATCACAAATGTGATGTTACTTTTTTGTAAAGATAAGGAAATGTTGGTAAGGACATACAAGGAACTTTGAAGGATAATGAATTTTGGTTTGGTTTGGTTTCAATTTGTATTAATATAAACTGTTATACATGGATAATTTAATAGGCATTCTATATACCTGCCAATCAAAATGGAGAAAAACTTAAGATTTTGTCAGTGCTTCAGATTATTTTTTATTTTTTTTAAGAAATAAGCCATTGTAGCTGGGTGTGGTGGTACACACCTATAATTCCAGCAGCTGGGGAAGTTGAGGCAGGAGGATCATGAATTCAAAGCCAGCATCAGTAGAAGTGAGTCTAAGCAACTCAGTGAGACCCTGTCTCTAAATAAAATACAGAATAGGGCTGGGTATGTGGCTCAGTGGTTGAGTAACCCTGAGTGCAATCCCTGGTACCCCCCGCAAAAAAGAAAGAAGGTATTGTAGTTAAATTCCCACTTCCTTGCTGTTCTTCTCCAAGCACTATCATGAATTTAGCATATTTGTAATTTGATTTTTAATTTTATCTCACATAAGATTTTAAAATTTTATTATTTATTGTTTTTTATTATTTATTGTTTTTAGTTTACATAAATGGTACTGTACAGTGCCTACTATTTTGTAATCATCACGTTGAAACCCATTGTGATCATTGACTTTCAGCTCTTCCCTAGTATTCAGCTGTAGATATGTCAGATATGTTCCACTGCTCAGTCATTTGGGTTATTTTCAGCTTTTCTGTGTTATACACAATGCTGTCAGAACATCCTTAAGGTGTGTGTGTGATACTAGGCTTTATATCAAAATGGGCTTATTCACAAAGAGGGGCACATTTTCAACTTCGTTACATACTGCTAAAATACTTACCAAAGTGAGTGTATCAATTTCTAGATCTGTTAGCAAATGATGAGACTTTTTTATTCATTCTCATATCCTTATCAGTATTTAAAACTAAGGGAAAATGTGGCCCCTCTTATTTTATAGAGGTGGAAACTGAGGACTGTGGAGAATGAACTAGGGTTGCACTGATTAACAGAACCTTACCTAAATTAAATTTAGTTTGACAGCTGTTTGTCTTGTTCTTTTTAGTGTTAAGTTGATCCAATAAGTTTCACATTCTGTGATCAACACTGTGTTGGGGCATTTGGCTTTCAGATAAAACAGGCATAGGTTCCACAGATAGATATGTGATTAGGTGCCATGAGCCAGGCACTGTGCTAGAGTCTTAGCAGTGTATGAATGATCCCTCCTGAAGAGTGCTCAGTGCAGAACAACCTAACATAATCCCAGAACGGTGTGACTGGGAGAATTCAGAAGAGACCTGTGAACCAAATGGGCATTGTAGAAACAGTGGTTGCAGAAGAAATGGAAAAGTCCTTTGGGGTTTAGGTTTCTGGCAGTCTCCTTTTTAGCCATTCTAGTGGCTTCCCCTTCCCTTGTCATTCCAATCCCCCCAGCCACCCCTACCCCTGCAGTCCAGATGTCTGAGCTTCAGTTTTGGCCCATGACTATTCATTAAGCTGGACAGGACCTGCAGCACTTCCTGAAGCACTGACTAGTGAACAGTATCTGTGGTTGATTTCCTGATCCAGCCTTTCCCAAGGGAAACTTCTCATCTGTGTCCCCAGAGACAAATCTTTTGTTTCTGCTTTCCCTCTGGCCTCTTGGTCCAGTTGTGTTTTACGACTTCATAGCAGCAGTAAGAGCTGGTGATGACCCTTCTGGGGCACAGAGTGCTTCATTTTTACATCAGTGGTCCTGGTAAGCCAAGGAAGTAAGAAAAGTATTTTGAGATAAAAATCAATATTGGCATGAGCTGGGGTTGTAGCTCAGTGGCGGACCACTTGCCTCACATGTGTAAGGCACTGGGTTTGATCCTCAGCACCACATAAAGTAAATAAAATAAAGATGTACAATAAGATATGACAACTTTATTTAAAAAATCAGTCTTGGCAAATTGGGGTCTCTGCTTTATCTTTCAGGAAATCTTCTACTTTCGCTGAGTCAGGGTTCCCAGGAATGCTGTGGGGTAGTTGTGATAACCTTTCTTGTATGTCTCTTGACTCAGTAGTTTGTGAGGAGCTCAGGATATTTAAGATCCCAAACAGAAAATTATAAGCAGGTAGATTTTCAGATCCATGTCCTGTATTTTGATAGAGTACTACACAGTTTACAACCACTCTTAGTGGCATTATTTATTTACTTGTGATTTAGACATACATCTTGATGGTAGACACTGAAACTTTTAGTTTTGGTTGGTTCTTCAGCTTCCTGTCTGAAGAGTTCCGGAGTTTTTATTCTTGTTAATCAGAAGTCACGTCTGCTCTTGTTTCTCCTCCAAACAACATCACAGGCCTGTATCCTAGGACTGCACAGTGTAATTTCCATTATTAATGATATTCTTCCCTGTGAGTGACATCATCTGGAAATCTGTAGGTTCCTTGTAGCTGTGGTGCAAAGTCAATCTCGGGTCTTTTTGCTTTGTTTTTGTGACTTTGGTTTCTGCTTTCTTTTCAGATTGCAGTGCCTTTGTCCACAAAGGCTGCAGAGAAAGTCTGGCCTCCTGTGCAAAGGTCAAAATGAAAGTAAGACATTCTGGTGAAAAGATGGCTTAAAATAAAAGGGTTTCAACTAACAAAATACTAAGAAATTGGGAGAGTTGAGGTTGCAGTGGGTTTGTTTGTTTTAATCATTTGGTACCAACCTTGAAGCCAAAATGATCAAACAATAATTTTTCTCTAAAATGATCAGTTCCCTTTTTGATTTTAACATGCTTGGGAATTTGAGACTTCTGGGAAAAGAAAATGCTTCCAGAACTTAAACATGTTAAATATACATTTCCCTGTGAGTTTAATATTTCTGAGTTGCTGATTAAAATAATTTTGCTCTTAACCATATATGCAGACCTACTCTGCAATTCACACATCTGGCTTCCTCATACACTAGACAGGCACAGAAGATGGCAAGTGGGGGTGACTGGGGCTGTATTGCAGGGTGCTAAGAGCCAGTGAAAAGACCAGACCAGGAAATTAGGCCAAACCACACTTTTTATTCTAGGCTGCTTGAAACTTGACAGAGGCTAAGTCATCAATGCATTTTTCTTGTACTTTCTTTTTCTTTAGCAGCCCAAAGGGAACCTTCAGGCCCATGACACGTCTTCACTCCCCACGGTCATCATGAGAAACAAGCGTAAGTAGCTCAGCCAGCCTCCTACAAGTCCCTTTCTGACTGACTGGTTCTGTACCATAAGTACTGTTGTAGTGTTCATTTATTATTTCTCATTAGGATTTGAATACCTATTCTGAATACCTAACTAGAAAGGCTGTTTATTCTACAAATTCACTCACCAATAGTTTTATATGACACCATCAAATCCTCTTTGAAGGTTTGTATACCCAGTGAAGTTATGTAAATGGTTCATTTTTTTCCTTCAAATGTTACACATGGTTGAGTGAATCACACACTCCCATTCACATCATGCTATCTTCACCAGTCTATGTGAGGCTACACTTTGAATTTGCCTGATATTTTACTTTTTGTTCTTTATTTCCTATCTCATTCCTACTATTGTATATTTAATGTATGTCTTTCTAATCTGCCATATCTTTAGACATATGTATTTTGGGGAAAAAAATCTGTTGTTTTTGTGCATTAAATTTAAATTAGGTAATGTGACTTATATATTATTATTTGTTTTCTTTTTCCTTTTTTTTTTTTGTCTTCCCATACTGAGGATTAAATCCAGAGTCACTTAACCACTGAGCTATACCCCCTCATTTTTTTTTTTTAATGTTTTGAGATAAGATCTTGCTAAGTCTTTAGGGCCTTGCTAAGTTGCTGAAGTTATCTCACACTTGTAATTCTCTTGCTTCAGGCTTCCAAATTGCTGGGATTATAGGCATGAGCCAACCACACCTGTCTTATTCTTATTTTTCACTCAATATCATTTTGAGACTATGCATGTTATTATTATTTTAAGCTGTTATTTCAGATTGCTGCATGATATTCTTTCAAAAGTGTATATCACATTTTAATTACTAGTTCCCCCAAAACAGGATATTTAAGTTGCTTCCAACTTAAATATAAATAACTACTACCATAAATAATGCAGTAATGATTATCCTCTTAGTTGACTCTATGAGAACCTATGAGAGACTTTCCCAAAATAGAGTAATTTCCAGGATCCATTAAACACACATACTTTTGTGATCCACCCACATCTATGAATCAGAAATTCCAAGGTGGAGTCCAGTGATCTGTGTTTTAATAGGCCCCCTAGGTGATTTTGATGACCCCTTCAGCTTGAGATTCACAACTTTATGCCTTATTTTTCTAAGTACTTCCAGATAACTCCAGAATAAGTACCAGTCTGTACTCCCACAGGGAAATGTGAAATCCTTAAACATATTGCCTGATGATTATCCATCTTTGCATGTAGATGGCTAGAAGAGATGCTTTGCCAGACTTGACGCCTACGCAAATCTATGATCCAACCCATTCCATGTGACTTTTGCAAGTCTAACATTAACTCTCTTACTGTAAAATGCCTGTTATGTGCAAGGTGGTTGTTGTCATTTTTTTAATATTTTTTTTTCTTTATTTATTGGGCTGAGGATCGAACCCAATGCCTCACACATGCAAGGCAAGCACTCTATCACTGAGCCACAGCCACCTTGCCCTAGTGTGCAAGGTTTTTTATCTCTGACCCATACAAATGTTCGTGTGTGTGTGTGTGTGTGTGTGTGTTGCTGGAGGTTGCCCATGTTAGGCAAGTGCTGAACCACTGAACTACATTCCTAGCCCACACGCAGATATTTTTATTTCTACTTTACCCCACTGAGGCAGTATACTGGTTGAAAGTACAGATTGTGGATTCTAGTTATATGGATTTGAATCCAAGCACCACTACTAATTAGCTGTGTAACCTTAAATGCTGCTGAACTTCTCTGTGCCTCATTTTCCTCCTATGTAAAGGAGGTAATGGTAGGTTTCCTAGGGTAGTCAGGCTGCCTACCTGACTTATAAATAAAATCATACCTGTAGGCTCAGTGGTTGGGCACTTGCCTGGCTTGCCTATTCAATGGATTCAGTCTGCAGTGTGCCTCCCATTGTCCCCCCACTCACACAAATCAGACTAGTAAAATACTTAGTAGTTGACACTCCTTAAGTTTTGCTTCTATCATTGTCACAAATAACAGACTTAAAGATATTAAGTGACTTCCCTGGGTGGACTATGGATTGCTTTCCATCAAGGAAAGGCTATTATTTTCATCCTCTTACCCCACCTTTTGGATACAAGTTGTTCTTTATTAATTGTAGAGTTTTATGTAACATTCTACTTCTTCAGCCTTTTCACTGGTCCCTTACCTACATCTTCTACCTATTTCCTCCTCTGCTTTTCTTTTTGCTTCATGATTTCTGCCTTTTATTCATACAGTTCTTCTCAGAATGTCCTCTTCTGATCTATCCACATTCTTCAAGAACTAGTGTTGGGTTTCCCCCCCACCCCCTTTCAGATTTTGTCTGCTCCCTGAACTCCCTTCTGAAGCACTTGGACTTCAGACTCTTGATACTTGAGCATGTTCTCTTTTACCCACTGTTTGCTCTGGCCTACTAGAGCAGGGGCCACAGCTACATTTCTTGGGACTCCTGTAGCAATATCTGGTTGTGATGCAATGTGTCATGTTTCTGGTGTTTTACTATACATCACCTTTGTCTAAATAGAATTTGAATTTGAAATGAATGCTTAGCCATGCGCGGTGGCACATGCCTGTAATCCCAGCATCTCGGGAAGCTGAGGCAGGAGGATTGCAAGTTCAAAGCCAGCCTCAGCAACAGCAAGGTGCTAAGCAATTCATTGAGACCCTGTCTCTAAATAAAATACAAAATAGGGCTGGGGGTGTGGCTCACTGGTCAAGTGTCCCTGAGTTCAATACCTGGTACCAAAGAGAAAAAAAAGAAGAAATGAATGCTTGTATTAACATTTATTAAGTTTAAAAAAATCCTGACATTTGTCAAGGAAAAATAATGTTACATGTATGCCTGTGTGACCATTTGAGCAAATTAAAGTTCCAGTTTCCTCTTTGCCTATGTTGAAGAGAAGTTTGCAGAAGGAGGATCAATTAGCTATGTGACATTAAACAAGTAATCCTGTTTTTTTTAATCCATAAATTAAAGGAATTGGTCAGAATCTGTGCTCTCAAATGATGAACTGAAGAATTGTTTGAGAAGCCTATAAAATATGTAGACTCCCAAGTCCCACTCCAGAGTACAGCAAGGGCTGGGAATTTTATACCTAAGAAACACTTCACAGATGTTTCATGGTATGATCCAAAGAACACTGGTCTCAGTTACCTCTAAGATTCCTTTTACTCTTAATGTTATTTCAACCTTATTTTTATTAAGTTTAAATTTTAAAATATATAATATTTTCATGTGATTCTTTATCCTCATTGTTTAGTTTCTATCCCATACCACAGGTAACCACTCTTAGTTTTTCATTTATCTTCTCAAAGTTAGCCTTGTTAATGTAAATACTAACTTGGATTATTGATTTCCCTTTTTTAAAAGCATTAAGAGTGGCCTATTATTATGTACTGTTTTGCATCTTGATTTCTCCCACCCCCTTTCACTTACTGCATCTTAGGGATATGTCAGTACATGAAGAATATTTTCATTTTGTTAAAGCTGCATAATATTCTAGTGTATGATGTACTGTAACTTATTGACTGATTTTTTGGTGCTTATTAGTATCATTTCCAGTCTTTTTCTTTAATCAACAATATTTCTTTGAATAACTTTGGACACAAATCCTTTCAAACATACACAAATATATCTTATAGACTAAACATGTTCTAAAGGTGAAATTACTAATAGCAAGGTTTGGTTGTGCATACCTGTAATCCCAGCAACTTGGCTGAATCAGGAGGATAACAAGTTCAAGGCTAACCTTGGCAGCTTAGCAATACCCTGTCTCAAAATAAAAATTAAAGGGACTGAGAATGTAGTTCAATGGTAGAGCACCCTGGGTTCAATCTCTAGTACTGGGGGTGGGGGGGGCGGCAGGGAGTAAAATTACTAGATCAAAGAATATCAGTACTTACAATTTCAGTAATTACTGCCAAACTGTCCTTCATAACCTTTGTAGCAATTTTACCCTCCAAGGGCAAATCTGTTTTAAAGCACTTTGCTTCTGTTTGGCATTGTCAGATGAATCAGTACTAAGTGGGCATAAAGATGAGACTTCAGTTGTGTCCTCTTCCTCTGCAGCCTCACAGCCCAAGGAGCGCCCTCGATCCGCAGTCCTTCTGGCTGATGAAACCACTGCTGCCCCAATGTTTGCTAATAGACGGTCCCAGCAGAGTGTCTCGCTCTCCAAAAGTGTCTCCATTCAGAACATTACTGGGTAAGTAGGAGGTTTAAAAATAACATGATTGACATGTGGGTGATAAGAGTATAATAATCACATCATTTGACAAAAGATTTTTCTTTAGAAACATTTGTGTAAAGTAACGGGTTGGTGCACATTTGGGTGCTACAGATGAGGAAAATGGGGATTATACTTATGATGCACTGTTATAACCGCTATTTTGGGACAAGGATCTCCTTTAGACACTACTGTCAGACCACGTTGCTGTAGTATTTGTACATGATCAGCCCAACTTTTGAAGAATATAAAGTTCTAAAGGATGATTTTTAGATCAAATAAGAAGGCATGGGGGGAAAAGATGATTAAATTATGAATTTTTGTTTGCAGCCACTTATATGTTCAAATGTCACACTTTTGTATTGCTCAGATGAGCCTGGTTCTTTAGTTTCTTTTTAAATCATTTTTCTATCCTTGCCTCTAAGTCAGTTTCATGGAGGTAAATTGTGGGCCATTTGCTACCATTAAGTTCCCAGTCACTCAGTTGCACTCAGTTCTTTTTGTGGTCTCCTGAAAAGTTGCTGTGGCCACTGACTGTTCATGCATTGGCTGTCTGGTTAGCATAGGAATGATTATGATGTTTTGGCTGGTTTGGATAAAATGCCTACTTGCCTATCATCTCAAATGTAAGACACATCTTTTGCATGTGTCTTAACCTAGGTTGATGGAAGTTAACAAGAGGATGCAAAATTTCCTTTTGTCTGTATATCCTAACCTCTGTGCTAGCTAATGTTTCCTCCTCTTAAAAACATTTTTGTCTTGTGGTCTCATTATCTCCATAAGTCTTTTTTTCAAAAGTTGTATTATTATCAAGTTGGTTCGCATTGTGACTTGAAAAGTTGTTTTAAAAAAAAATTGAAGTTTTAAGTGATTGTTATTGCTTTTGCTTTTGTGTTATGCAGTACATTTGTTGGGTACCTACTATACAAGCTGGTGAGTTGGATTGAGAAAGTCCCGAGAATATAGCACTTAGTCTATAATTACTTAGGCAAGTGTAGTGGCTAGGCAATAAGTTTTAAATAGCAAAATTTCTTATATAATGTGTACATGATATGAGTGAAGAAAGTTTTCTTTGCTGATTATCATTTAAATAAAAAAAAGAAGTCTCAAAGAGTTGAAAAGTTTTACGTTTGCAAGGATATTAAATGCTACTAAACTTTAAGAATAGTGTTGTTGCTCTGTGCCTGGTGTAAGTAATTGGTCTTTAGTCACTGTAGAACTTTCAGCCAGCTATCGTTTTCAAATTTTTCAGGTACTTCTTTAAGTGTGTGAACACTGCTATTTGATAGAATGTACTTCTTTTTGTCCCCAGAGTTGGCAATGATGAGAGCATGTCCAACACCTGGAAATTCCTGTCTCATTCAACAGACTCACTGAATAAGATCAGCAAGGTCAATGAGTCAACAGAATCACTTACTGATGAGGGTAAGAGGAAGTTGTGGCCTGTATTATATGCCTCTGTAGAGAATGTGCCTTTACATAGAACACCATTGTTAATAGTGCCTACCTCTTCCTTACCGTGTGAAGCTTCTCTAAATTTGTCTGTAAAGCATCAAATGCATTAAAATGAATTGGTAATCACCCTTAACCAGTTGTTAATTGTGCCATTGACTTTTAAATGTGGGCATACCCTTGTGTGGAGAAATGACTTTTCTTCCCTAGTCATTTGTGCACTATTAATTCTAGCTCTCGTGGCATGATAAGCTTACTTTATTAAACCTGTAAAGGTAGCAGATCCCTTCCAGTTCCTGCTTCATGTGGGAATCATCTCTTATTCATATGTTTGATTTATATTTTATTTATCTTTTCTTAGCCAGTCTTGAATGTAGAGTCTTAGTCACTCCCAAATAGGACATTGATTATTTTCTAGAACCAGGATATACTCTCCATGAAGAACTCCTGTGTTAATGCAGAGCATTTGTTTCTTAAGAAATCATTTATCATCCTAAGAAGTATCCAACCTAGGCTTTTTAGAAGTTACAAACTCAAGATTCTAATATTAATTTTTTTTTATATTTTGAGGAGTAGGTACAGACATGAATGAAGGACAGCTAATGGGAGACTTTGAGATTGATTCCAAACAGCTAGAAGCAGAGTCTTGGAGTCGGATAGTGGATGGCAAGTTTCTGAAACAGCAAAAGAAAGATGTGGTCAAACGGCAAGAAGTGATTTATGGTGAGATTCTTCATTTGCTCTGCTTACATTTGATTTGCATTGTTCAACATTTTTAAACTAGTGATTTGATAGGCTGTGGAAAAATCAACTTTTGATTTTTAAGATTTTAAAGATTTCCTTTAAAAACTTTGAGGTACACAAACAAGTTCTTATTTGTATCCTTTTCTTCCTTTGCCCTATTCTATTTCTTTTTCATTCTCTTGAGTGTTTTATTTATATATGAGTGCTCAGTTGCACAGCAGTCCTAGGAAGAGATCTCTTATGAAAGTGCAGTTTTGAGCCAAGCATGGTAGCACATCCTTGTAATCCCAGCAGCTCAGGAGGCTGAGGCAGGAGGATCACAAGTTCAAATCCAGCCTCAGCAACTTAGTGAGGCCCTAAGCAATTTAGCAAGACTTTGTCTCATAATAAAAAATTAAAAGGTCTGGGGAGGTGACTCAGTGGTAAGTGCCCCTAGCTTCAATTCCCACTACCAAAAAAAAAGGAGAAAGTGCAGTTTTGTTCCTCAGCTACACTAGAAAGTAGATGAAATATAAGTTGTTTATAGGGAACAGAAATAGTCATTTATGAGAGGTGCTGAATCCAGTGAAGCATTCTTGGTGTAACCAGTACTTAAGTATACCTGTCATCAGAAAATAGTGTTGGGTAATGTGAAAAGTAGAGGATTAAGATGAGAATACCTTAGGAAAAATACACCTATTGAGCCAGTTTTAAAGTTTAAATTGAATTCCAAAATAACCTTATGACTGTAGCAGCTGATCTTTGAAGGACAATGCTCATTTAAATTAAAAATAAAAATTGTTGATCTCTGTCCTCCTTCCCAGAGTTAATGCAGACAGAGTTCCATCACATCCGAACTCTCAAGATCATGAGTGATGTGTACAGTCGGGGGATGATGACAGATCTGCTCTTTGAGCAGCAGATGGTGGAAAAGCTGTTTCCCTGTTTGGATGAGCTGATTGGTATCCATAGCCAGTTCTTTCAGAGGATTCTGGAGCGGAAGAAGGAGTCTGTGGTGGATAAAAGTGAAAAGAACTTTCTTATCAAGAGGATAGGGGATGTGCTTGTAAATCAGGTGAGCCACGGGAAGGGTCTCTGGTTCTTCTCACTTGTTGTGAGGGGGAAAAGTGAAGCCTCGGGGCTCAGGAACCATACATTCACATCTCAGTTCTGCCTTTTACCTGTGTAAGCTTAGGGAAGTTAATCTCTCTAAGCCTTGATTTCCTTTTCTATAAAAAAGAACAATAGGGATTCTCTGCTTTTGCTATTTTAAAAAGTTAAAGGGAAGTATCTGTATGTATGTGTGTGTGATATATAGATAAATATGTTATATATCAATACCTAACACACAGTAGATAACACAGTAAAAAAAAGTTGGAAATCAAAGAATACTTATTGGAAATCTTCACCTTTGCCCTGTGGCTCAAATCAGAAGGATCTCATTTACAAAAAAAAACAAACAAAAAACTGCTGAACATAGAAAATTGAACAAGAGACTATCTGTGAACTACATAACTAAAATATGTATTGTTGATATTTTTATCATAGTGGTATGGTTTTACTCCCACTCTAAGAAAATTTATCTAAAAGTTATTTTGATACTTGCAGATGTATTTGTCACAAGCAGCTATTAATGGTTTCTTCAGAAAATTTTCTTGAAAAAAATAAAACTTCAGGTATAACACACTTACAATTAGTATTTTTTTCCCCCAGCAAATCTCTGCTTTTGTGAAGGAACAGAGGCTTAATTGCTGGAACATTTGTCTGAGAATTAGAAATTTTGTCTTTTCCTTGTATTAGCCCATTCTGCTCATTTCACTAACTCATTATTGTATTCATTCATTCTTGAAGTATTTACTGAGCATCTGGTAAATACACAGATATGTTAAACATGACTTGGACCTCTGCCTCAGGGAACTGCTATTCTAGAAGTAAAAATAGGCGTGTTGTGAAATAAATGCAAATCTGGTATGGCAGATTTGCATATTGAACAGGGCATCTGCAACAGAGCCTTCCAGTCATTTTCCATTCCACTCTTTCTGCCTTACCTCTCTGCCTTTAAGGCCTGCAACAGGCAATTCACCAAACCTTGACTTATATTATCATTTGTAGCTCCTTACATTTATTTATATACATCCCCTAGTAAGATCATTGACACTGGGATTGAAATCATAGTACTGGTGTCTATTTCTGTGCACCAGTGCTGGATTTTATCTTTTAGGGCACTTGTTTTATGGTATATAGGTTATAAGTAAATAACATCTTTCTGCTGGTTTCTCCATTGGTAAGTGGGGATAGGAAAAACTACCCTGAGTCCTTTTCAAATTTTTTTTTTTTTTTAATATGGTGCTGAGGATTGAACCCAGGGTCTTGCACGTGCAAGGCAAGCCCTCTACTGCTGAGCCATAACCCACGCCCCAAATTCTTTTTTTTTTTTTTTTGTATAGTGCTGGGTATTGAACCAAGGGCCTTATGCATGCAAGGCAAGCACGCTGCCAACTGAGCTATAGCCCCAGTCTACTTTTCAGATTTTTTTGGTAAAGTGTAATATGTCTGAGATTTTTAGTGCATGGAAATCAGTGCTTAGCATGAATTAGATAGACACCTTACAAAAATTCACTGATTTACCCCAAGATGAACATTACTTCAGATGGATCTTTGAGATTGCACAGATTTGGGAATTATTTAAGGGTATACAGGTTTATTAAAACTGTTTACCTGAAGTAAAAGTATCTCATGAAGAAAAACCCAGCCCTTACCTTAAATTAAGGAGATCGAAGTTTTAAGACATGAAATGTATTTTTAAATCATGAAAATGTAAGTTTTATTCAGATAAAATTCTTATTCTGTAACAATCCACTCATTTAAAATGTGAAGCTAAATTGTTTTTAGTATATTCAGAGTTGTATAACCACCATCACAGTGAATTTTAAAACATTTTATCATTCCAGAAAGAAACCCCATACTCATTAGTAGTTGCTCCCTTTCACACAAAAACATCAAATTGCCCTAATCCTAGGTAACTGCTAATATATTTTCTCTTGCCTCTTCTGGACATTTCTGTATAAACATAATAAAACAATATGTGGTCCTTCATGACTGGCTTTTTTCAAGATTATAATGGTTTTCAAGATTATTCAGAATTGTAGCGTGTAATAGTACTTTGTTGCTTTTTATGACTGAATGATACTTCTTTGTATGGATACCATGTTTTATTTATTTTATCTACTGATGGACATTCTTTTTACTATTTGGGGGCTATTATGAATGATGTTGCTATGAACATTTGTGCATAAGTTTGTTTGTTTTTAAAGAGAGAGAGAAAAGAGAGAGAGAATTTTCTAATATTTATTTTTCAGTTTTTGGCAGACACAACATCTTTATTTTATTTTTATGTGGTGCTAAGGATCGAACCCAGCGCCCCGCCAGGTGAACGCATTACCGCTTGAGCCACATCCCCAACCCTGTGCATAAGTTTTTATGTAGATGTACGTTTTCATTTCTCTTGGGTATACACCTAGGAGTAGAAGTAGTAGGTCTCAAGAAAGCTCTGTGTTTGACCTTTAATGGAGTGCCAAACCATTTTCCAGAGCTGCTATCAATTTATCTTTAAGGGGAATTTATGAGAAAGCATTCTTAGCTTTTACAAATGGACTGGAAACTTTTTACAGGATGATCCCCTGAAATAGAGCATAACCGTTATTCTCTTTCCTCTGCAGTTTTCGGGTGAGAATGCAGAACGCTTAAAGAAGACATATGGCAAGTTTTGTGGGCAACACAACCAATCCGTAAACTACTTCAAAGATCTTTATACAAAGGATAAGCGTTTTCAGGCCTTTGTAAAGGTATTGATGTGAAACATGAAAATCTCCATCAAGAGCAATACATCACTGTCAGTTTTAGCTGCAGTCTTCCTTGTGCAGAAGTTCCTAACAGTTTGTTTACTTCCTTGCAGAAGAAGATGAGCAGCTCAGTGGTAAGGAGACTTGGGATCCCAGAGTGCATATTACTTGTAACCCAGCGGATCACTAAGTACCCAGTTTTGTTCCAAAGAATATTGCAATGTACCAAAGGTGAGTCTCCTTTTTAACTCAGTTTTATATGCCATTGCACTGTTGACCAAATTCTATCCTGTAGTGCTAGAGACCACCATAGAAAGCTGTTTCATATTGCAGTACGTCTAAAAGAGAGCCTGTGCTTTATCTTGAAAACAGTTTTCTTTAGTGAAAACTTGGAATGTTATGTCACCAGACTTAGGATGGATGATAACAGGAAGGAAAAGGGAGTAATTATTGATTCCATGAAGAGTTCAGAGCCCTGAGCAGCTAATTTCCCTGATCACTATACTGTCAGACAGTTCCACCAGTTCTTCCCATGAGTGCTAGAACTGCTGCTGCTTCTCATGTAATCACTGCATGCTGGTTTATCGTCTTAGGTTCTCCTAAGCATTTACATTAACATTAAAGATTATAAGCTAGCTAGCTATGTTAAAGATTTGGTAAAATAAAGAAATAAATAACTTGTTGCTCCTTCCTAGCCCTCCCTACTTAAAATGTAGGGTTTCTTTTATTTTGAACAGAGATATAAGTTCATATTATCTGTATTATTGAGAACTGCTAACCTTCCTTAGTATTAGACTTAAAAATGCAAGAGAGAGGAGCATGTGACCTCTGGCATGTTGTCTGCACTCTGATAGCCTAACCACAGAGGGTGAATGATGAAGTGGAACAAAAAGGCAGGACTCCCTCCCCTTCTACTCTAGTCTGGAAGGAAGCCATTATAGCATAATTATTCTTTGTTCCAAAGACAACGAAGCAGAGCAAGAAGACCTAACTCAGTCCTTGAACCTGGTGAAGGATGTAATTGGAGCTGTAGACAGCAAAGTGGCAAGTTATGAAAAGAAAGTGCGTCTCAATGAGATTTATACAAAGACAGATAGCAAGTCAATCATGAGGATGAAGAGTGGTCAGATGTTTGCCAAGGAGGATTTGAAGCGGAAGAAGCTGGTAAGAGATGGAAGCGTGTTTCTGAAGAGTGCTGCTGGAAGGTTGAAAGGTAAGGCTCAGCTTACTTGTGTCTGACTGTATGCCTAAGGAGAAAATCCAAGTATTTTATTGGAAAAATTCACCACAGTTTTTTTTTTTTTTTTTCCCCCTCTGGAGCCTATGTCCAAACATCACTCAGGAGCAATAATCATTTAATTGTGATTTTTAGATCAAAAAAGACTGGTTGAGCCGAGCACCGTGGCACACACTTGTAATCCCCAGCATCTCAGGAGGCTGAGTCAGAAGGATTGCAAGTTCAAAGCCAGCCTCAGCAATGGCGAACTGCTAAGCAACTCAATGAGATTCTGGCTCTACAAAACAGGGCTAGGAATGTGGCTCAGTAGTTGAGTGTTCCGGAGTTCAATCCGCGGTACCCCCTTCCAAAAAAAAAAGCCTGGTTGGAAATAGTTTGCAAAAATCATATGAAATAAAATTAAGTAAACAAGGAAATGATGCAGTCAGGGAAAATGGAAAATAAGATTTTAAAAAATAAAGGGGAAAATTAAAAATTAATACAAATGTGCAAGCAGTTAAGGAAGATGCATTCTCTTATGAGAGGAATGACCAGTGTGGGATTAGGGCCTGTGGGAAAAAAGTTATAAGGAGGGAGAACTCAGTCAGCATCTGTGAGATTGAAAACACAACACTTGTTCCCAAGAGATGTTAGAGGGCCTTGCAGCTTCAGAGACCCTAAAGGTAAGTTTAACTCATATCAACCAGAAATGTTCTCTCATCTTTAAGATATAATGATGTAGGTAACTGCTATCAGAGGAATCCTTACCATAGTCTTACCATAGAGTCTCACCATGCTTGGAACAGTATTACAGAAGCCCCAGGCAGTCAACTGTTTTCAACCATGAATGAATCTGGGATCAAAACAAAACTACTTGGAAAGAGATACTTGCTATCGAATCTGATACGTGCTGGAACAGAGAAAAGGGTGGGTAGTAGTGGAATTATTCCTGGTGGTGGGGACTAGCAAGTGTGGAAACATGGAATTGGAGAAGTAGACAGCCCAGGCTCTCAAACAGATTGCACAGTGAGTGACAGGGAAGAATGGAAAATAGGCCTGAAGAAAACTGCTGGAGCTGCACTGTAATGAGGAGCATAGTACACACCAAGGCATCAGTGGCCACTCTTGACATATGTGGGTCAGGGATGGGTGCCCAATGGAGGGGTTTTTAAAAGGAAAGGGATATATTAGACATTTTTTAGCACAGTGACTAGATGGAGTGTAGAGTTGAGTGTGAAAAGAGACTGGTGATGGAGGCATCAGGAGATGGTTGTGATTCAGGGAAGTGCTAATCCAGGCCTGCCCTGCAGTAGAGGACATGTAAGATAAGGACAGGGTAATCACAGAAAAGAAATGTCTCTTGTGCCACCAACAGCTGTGCATTTCACTGTTCTGTGATATACTTGAATCAAGCTCCTCCCTTCCAGCCCTAATGTCCTGTGATGTTCGAAGAGCTCTGCCTCAGGACTGTTTCCAAACTCACCCTTGAGGCTGTCTTTTGAGCAGGCTGACATTTCAAAAATATCTGCACACTCTTGTAAGGACCTGGATTTCCTAAAGCCACTGCTCTCTGGATCTCGCAGTATATTCTTTCCTTTGCATAGCAATTTATTGATTGATTCTTAAAATAAAAACTAATGGATTCCAACTATTGAAAAAAAAAAAATTGTGGTCAAGCCAGTGTCATAAGGATAGATTTTCTGGCTTGAAATGCATCTGCTGGAGAACGAATTGGTGTTTAGTCATTTTCACCCCTAAGTGAACTTGTGCCAAAAACAGCCAGTACTATGTTGAGTACTTTTGAAAAGGGTGGATTGTTTTTCTCTGATACATAGACACCAATCATATAAATGTCAGGATTCAGTAAAATTGAAACTTGTGTTTTGTTTTTTCAAACACGTGAATTATCTAAAATTAAACTTCAGACAAATAAATGTGTCAAACCTAATGATAGTTTATGTAAAATTACTATAGTCTAAGTTGAAAAATTAGACCTTCCTTAAAAATGGACATCCTTCATTCTATTTTTTTATGACTATGAAGTGAATTTCACAGAAAGGGGATTCTGGTATGGCAGAGGTTTAAGACAAGGCCAGGAGGGAGCTGCACAAATCATTTCCATCCTTTTCCTGAGGAATCATAGGCTTCACTTTCTAGAGTAAAGATATGTAAGGGACAACCTATGAGCCCTCAGTAGATGGCTCAGAGATGTCAAGCTGTCCTTAAGAGAGTAATGGAAAAATGTCACTTTGTAGTCCTAGAAGATTACTCAAAGCAAGAGTTTGTGGAGTTTGGGAAAGTTGTTGTTTTGTTTTTATGTGTTTAATTCTTGCAACCAGTTAAGAGATGTTAATCTGGCTTTGGTTTGGGAAAGGAGGGGCTGCAGTTGAAAGCCAGGGCCTCACATCTGCCAAGCATATGTATATGTTTTAATAGAAAGGAAGAGAAGGCTGTTATCACAAAGACATTGAAGAGGACTACTGCCTATGGGAGCTGGGAACAGACCTCTGTATTCACTTGTACTTATGAGACCAGAGAGTGTCTGCAGAGGCCCTTCTTGTTCTTTTGGGGGCACAGAAGAAATCTACTTGTTGTTAGACTTAGATACTTCTGTATATCAACTTTCATGGCTATTGTTTCCCATGACTGTAATCATAAGTTGAGAAAGATTATAATGTGAGAATTTTGTGGAAAATGTTGCTCTAGGTTGCTGTTTAACATTGGTTGAAATAAAAATTTAAAACTTTATTCTTAAAAGCATTCTTAAAATCTTGCCCTCTAAAATGTATCTTTTCAGGACTGAGTATTTAAACTTTTCCAAGATAAGGCTTTGGTGATAAACCCCATTTTTAAATGCCTTTAGAAATCTAGTGACTGAGACTAGTCCTACGGAACTGTAAAACTGCTGCATTGAGGAAGAGTGTGATCTCAGACCATAGTTTACCCTTGTGGGGTGTATGACTGAAACTCCTTCAGTAAAAACCCTTCTGGCTGTAGTTAACTATTTAGTGATCATTGTTCCCTCTTATCTTTCTCCATTGCTGCTTTTCAGAGGTCCAAGCAGTTCTTCTCACTGACATTTTAGTTTTCCTTCAAGAAAAAGACCAGAAGTACATCTTTGCATCATTGGTAAGCTGAATTGTTACTTTCTTCTGCTTGGAATTAATACTATCCAAAACAACTAGGTTAGGTGTGGAGTATAATCACTAACTCATGGTTCACCCACCCTCTGAAAATTAAATGGCTCAGGATCAATTCCTGTAATTTCTTACATAGCCTCATGATTTTCTGTTGTTCCTTCCCACTGCCAAAATTATTTTTCTATTCTCTCACAATCCTTTTTATTGCCCAGAACGTTTGATGATTTGAATAGAAATTTGTCACTGAAGTGATTCTCATGATTTGATCTCATAAGTGGTGCTCATGTGTGATATGTCTGTGGGGAACCTGGAGTCATTATGTGAAAAACATGACTAGAAGCTTTATAGCTATAGACTATCATCTCCTTTTTGGAAATCTTTTTCTGTTTTTTAAAATTGAAATGAAATAGTAATATATTTATCTTTATCCTAAAATTGCCATTATTCTTTTAATCCATACGCACTTAAACAGTATCTGGTCTTATCTTACATAAGAGTTGTTCTTAAAAGTTAGAACATTGTATACATATCTTATATTTGCCCTTCCCCATTTTCTAGGACCAGAAATCAACAGTGATCTCTTTAAAGAAGCTGATCGTAAGAGAAGTGGCACATGAGGAGAAAGGTCTATTCCTGATCAGTATGGGAATAAAAGATCCAGAGATGGTAGAGGTCCATGCCAGCTCCAAAGAGGAACGAAACAGCTGGATTCAGATCATTCAGGACACAATCAATACACTGTAAGTGAAACACTAGAGCCCACCCTTCCTAGACCTCTTGATAACTCTGTAATTTCATAATAGATCAGGCAGTAATCAGAGTAATTGATACCTTAGGAATTTTTTGTTTTGTCTTTTCTTTTGATTTTATTAGGAACAGAGATGAAGATGAAGGAATTCCTAGTGAGAATGAGGAAGAAAAGAAAGTGCTGGATACCAAAGCCCGGGAGTTAAAAGGTAACTGTTGGTCACTGGTCCAGGGCCTTTGTCTGTGGAAAATCTATGATTGCAAAAGACTATTAGTGGTTTCCAGAGGTACTGGCTGCTCCTCAGCTCCAGAGCTATCTCAGCAGGCCTTGACAACAGAGAAATGAAGAGTTCCTAACAAAACAGTCTTGGCAAAGAATGGCTATAAGAATGGTCCGATATTAGATCAAGAGAATGTTAATTGTCTTTTTAGCATCAGTATTCCTGGACCCTGATGATATTCTTTGTGTTTATCACAGAGAATTTACCAAATTTCATGGTCACATCTAAGATTAAAACGAAGGAAGAAAGGTATCTGAGGAACATAATCCTCCTGTTAATCTTCCTGTCAGTCCTGGCTTTCTCAGTCATCTATACGTTCATAAATGAGTAGTGAGGTGGTTTGGGAAGAAAAGTACTTATTGATTATGTTTGACCACTATTTATTATCTGCTTTTTCTTATCAGTACTCTACAAGACAAATATTTTATTTCTTATTGTGCAGGTGAGATACTGAGGACCCCAAAGGCCAAACAACCTAGAGTCAAATGTATAGCTAGTGACTGAGCCAAAATTATAATTCCTATCAGGATGAGATAAACAGAATGACCTGATACTCATCCCCTTCACATGGCTTATTGCATGTTCCTAAGTAAAGACTGCTTTGAGTAGAAATCAGGCTGAAAGTCAAGTAAATGTAAACACTAAGGTGTTGTTAGTCCTTTAAGCTATATAAAGGGATAGCATTCTGTTTCATTAAAGGAAAAAAAATGGACAGGTTTAGGCTGGAGCCAATTTTATCAAGTTTTTATCTTACATATCAAATGATTAGGATGACAAGGATAACGTTAACATTTGTTAGGCACCTGGCTAGGTGTCCTACTAGATACTAGGGGAAACTCACACTCCAACAATGTAGACATAAGGGAATGACAGGCCACAAAGTGGTTATGAGACCCATAAACACATATAAAGTGTGGGAGATCTGCTCATCTGCCTCTGATAAGTTACAGAGAAGTTAATGCCTGAGCTACATCTGAAAAAAAAATTATCTCCCCGAATTAGAATAAGATAAGGGATTGGATGTATCTGCAAAGAATGACAGTTTTGAGGTATCTGGAGGGTCAAGGCTAATTGACAAGACAACAGCTTAAGCTGGGAAGGAACCAGGTCTTGAAAGGAAACAAGGGCTTAATGATAAAATTTTAAAAAATAGTTTTAATATGTGTTGGAACCCATTAAGACAATTGCTGGAGGGAGTGGGGGTCCACTGGTAATAGATCAGTTTGGAGACTCTTAGGTCAAGATATGTGAGAAACGAGATGGAGGACTGATGTGAATAGGAAATAAGATTATTAAAACTTGGTCAACTAGGGGCTGGGGATGTGGCTCAAGTGGTAGCACGTTTGCCTAGCATGCGTGCAGCCTGGGTTCGATCCTCAGCACCACATACAAACAAAGATGTTGTGTCCGCCAAAAAAACTGAAAAATAAATATTAAAAATTCTTTCAAAAAAAAAAAAACTTGGTCAGCTGGATGTGAATGATGGAACAGAGTGAGGAGACAAAATCTCTCTCAGGACTCTAAATTGGTAACCTGAAGGATTGGGAGTGCTGAGGAAGAGACCATAAGCTAAAGGAGAGAGTAGGATAGCAAGACCAGAAAACAGATTGGTTTCTGACATCCTGAAAATAAGCCATCTCATTAGAGATGGCCACTTGACAGTGGGGCTCAGAGGTTTGACACTCAAAGAGAGAACAGGATTTGAAATGCTTGTTGGGAATTATTAGCATACAGGAGGTAATTAAAACCATGGGAGTGAGATCCCCAAGCAGAAAAGTGTAAACAGTATAGAAAACAGCAGAGGTTGGAACCATGGGAGGAACCCAGCTATGCTACTCCCTGGCAGATGGCAGATCCATAAAGTGCCCTGAGAAAGAGTGATAGGAATAAAACTGATGTATTCAAGTGAAGGAGGGAAATTGTCTCAAAAGGAGGAAGTAATCATCTGTTGGAAAAGACCTAAAACTAGGACTGGGGCTGTAGCTCAGTGGCAGAGCACTAGCCTAATACATGTGACGTATTGGGTTTGATCCTCAGCACCGCATAAAAATAAATGAATAAAATAAAGGCATTTTGTCCATGTACAACTGAAAAAAAAAAAAACCTAAAACTAAACTAAAGGATCTCTGGCTGGGTACAGTGGCACACACCTGTAGTCCCAGCTACTTAGGAGGCTGAGGCAGAAGAACCACGAATTCAAGGCCAGTCAGGACAACTTGGTGAGATTCTGTCTCAATACAGAATAAAAAGATCTGAGGAAGTGTCTCAGTGGCAGAATGCTTGCCTAGAATGCTAGAGATCCAAGGTTCAATCACCAGCACCACGAAAAACGAAAAGCTGTCTTTGAATTCAGTAATGAAAGCAGTTTGCTGAATGGTGGGGCCAAATCAGGAGAGAAATGGGTTGAAAAATAAAAAGCCAAATAAGGGAGCAGAAACACAAAGTACAGACTTATTTGGTTAGATATTCCAAAGTGATCTTCCAGGTAGCAATTATAGATTATAAACTTGATAACTGCCTGCAAAATGAAAAGGAGTAGGGGCTTGGATTGTGGCACAGTGGTAGCGCACTTGCCTAGCATGCATGAGGCACTGGGTTCAATTCTCAGCACCACATACAAATAAATAAAATAAAGGCCCATCAACAACTAAAAAATATTTTTAAAAAAATGAAAAGGGGTAGAGGAAGCCATTTTCTGTCTTGGCCTTTTCCATAAATTACCACAAGGTGGAGCTCATGTTTTAGTCATCTTAAAATTCTAAACAAATCACTAATGAGTTTTCTCCATCCACCCTAAAGAACAACTTCAGCAGAAGGACCAACAGATCCTCCTCTTATTGGAAGAAAAGGAGATGATTTTCCGGGACATGACTGAGTGCAGCACTCCCTTGCCAGAGGATTGCTCCCCAACTCAAAGCCCTAGAACTCTCTTCCGCTCGAACACAGAGGAGGCTCTCAAAGGTGGACCTTTAATGAAAAGTGCAATAAATGAGGGTAACTACCATTTAGTATTACTCCTTCTTTGGCCTCTCCCAATGTGGATTAAACACTGTTAACAGTTTTTACTGTGTTATTGTAAAATAAAGCACCAATACAGAAAATTAGAGTAAACCCTTGGCTCAATTATCAGTTGAGCATCCTTATACAGGTCAAGAAGTACAATGTAGCCAAATACCCTAAAAGCCCCTCCAGGTACCCTGTTCCCATCACATCTCCCTCCTTCCAATAGGAGCAGATATTTCTGCCCTTACTAGTAATTACACACTGTCCCCTTCTTTGTATATAGTCTGTGTTTGAATCATCTGAGCTGTTTAAACTAAAGGTGAGTATTATTCATACTGCAGTTCTGGCCTCTCTTTCCTTCAAATTCACAGCTGAGTTCAGAGGCTTAATTGCTCAGAATTGATTCCTTTTGGCAAGCTGTGTTTTTGTAGTGTTGCATTCTTTATCAGGAGGCACCAAATATGTAATTGACTCCCCTTTTATGTTGCTGTTATTTTTGGGGGGAGGAGTTGGTAACATAGGAAAAATAGGGTAAATTCTTGGGGTTTTTTTCCCCCTCCCTTTATTTATCAGTTTCCAAAGTTGGTAAATTGGTTTATGGTCCTTCTGAAGGGAGGAACCATACTTTTTTTTCTTTTTAATATTATTATTATTTTTAATAATAATATTTTTAATAATATTATTATTTTAATATTTATTCCTTTTTTCACCTATTGAGCCATTTTCTGTTGAATCTGGGGTATAGCTCAGTGGTAGAGCCTATGGATCACTGATGTTCAATCAAAAATAAATAAAATAAATATGGAGGATTCATGGTTTTAAACATGCTCACTGAGTTCCAAGTTATTGCAATTCTCAATGTCATTTAAAGCTCAGAGTGTCCTATGTTTGCAAGTGAGCATCTCTTTGTTTGACTTTGCATTATGTAGCATGACCATAGTCATCTGAGAACTCTTTTTACTATCTGGTAGAGTAAGATGGTCCAGGCTCATCTTGATTGTTTTCTGTCCCAGATAGGAATCAACCATTTTCCCAAGAGCTCTAATTTTTTTTTAGTGGAAAATAATATTTTAAAACTATAATATGGACACTGGGGATGGTCAATATTACTCAATATGTCATTGTTGCTAGCTTGGGCTTTTTCAGTGGACAGAGTTGGGTGAATATATGAATTCATGTTGATGTATCTAATCAAATTGTGAAGTATAGGGATTTTTTAACCTAATGTCTCATATTACATCTCTGTCCTTTCTTCCACCTTATGAATCTTCATTCTCGAAGATGCGTCATAGAATTGAATATCCTGTATTTACTTACTGTCTTCATTCTACTTTAACACACACATCAGTGTCAAATAAATAATACTGGTACTCCTGCTACCAAACATAGTTTTTGTACATTAGCCCCATTCTCCCTATGTATTTAAGTAGGTGTTCTGTGTCTATACTGTCAGCTTGTAACCATTTATACTGAGCTCTCCTTTCATACTCTTGTTCTACAAGCTCATAAAATTAAAGCTTACCATCAGTCTTTAGGTCAGTGTCCCTCTATTCATTATGGTTGTCTGAAGCTTATCTCCAGGAGATACCTTAGGAAAGCCTTATGAGAATAATATCCTGAATTCGTGCATGTCAGTAATCACTTGAGCATTTTGTACTTGAAAATCTCTTCTGCTGGATGTAAAATTCTTGGCCTGTTTTTTTCTTCCCTTGGATGTGTTAATTTTCTCCAATATTACTTTGTTTTGTACTGGCATAAAGTGTTGCTCTCAGAGGCTGATGACTATTTGATTTTCCCATGGAAGTCACTTGCTTAGATGACCAAAGGATTTTTTTTTTTTTTTTTAAGTCCAAGTAGTTGTATTAGACTGCTTTCTTGTTGGTTGTTTTGGTTGAGTGTCTGTTTTGATGTGGTCACAGGTTTCAGCAGAGGCATTCCTGAATCACAGACTTCAGGTATTCTCCCTGTTCCCTGGGTGGTTTGCTTCTCCAGGAACTGCATTTGCCCAAGTGATCGTCCATCTTGCATATTTTCAGTGTTTATTACTTTACTTTTAATACTTTTTATCTCTTCATCTTTTTAATATTTATTCCTTTTTTTTTTTTTTTTTACCTGTTGAGCCCGGGGTTTTTTGTTTGTTTGTTTGTTTCAATTCTTTGAGTGTTGCCACCTCATCTCTTCTTCTAATTTTGACTTAGGTTTTTTCACATCTTGTTTGTTTTCTCAATGTGTTTAAGCATTTTTGTTTTCTGTATAATCTTTCTGCTATGCTTTTTTTTTTTTTTTATTGTCTTTAAGGAAGTTACTCCCCTTGTTCTGTACCCTCCCTCCATTTCTTAACTTTATATGGGATTCAGCTTCAGTACTTTTAAATGAAATTAGTTTTTAAACTTTGAGGTTCAGATAACTTTTCTACTTGGTAGTTCTCTTATTTTTGTGTGGTTTTGTTGTAATACCAGGGATCAAATCTACGGGTGCTCTGTCACTGAGCTACCCGCCCCAACCCTTTTTATTTTGACTAAGTTGCTGAGGCTGCCACAGTGCCCAGCTTTTGTAGGATTTTTTTTTTTTAATGTAATGCTTGTTATGATATTTCCTGCCTCTGATTCTCTCAGGACCTTCTTTCTTTCATTCCTGTTGTCCCTCTTCTGCTCAACTTTTAGCACTTTCTCCTTTCTGTAGGCTCTGCTCTAGAAAAGAGCCCAAATTGGTGAGATTTGAGAAGTCAGATGCTTAGGTTCCTCGAGCCCCTTGAACCCCTTGCCATCAGAGGGACCAAAACCCCACCAGTTTTACTTGATGTTTTCACATTGACCTACCTTGCTTTCAGGGATTATCTTTGGGTCTAATTCCAGAAGCCATGCTCCTTCCAGTAAATTACTCTGCCTTCCTTAAACTGTCAAATTTCCCAGATTTAATAAAAGTAAAGTTGAAGGTTCATCTTGAAATGTTTCCATAGAATCCAGCTAAAACGTATACCCTGAACTGAGTCATTCTGGACCAGAAAAGTCACCTAGTCACTCTGAGAACATCCTCATCCTGTTCCCTGTACATATCATGCATTACCATGACATGTTTTCCTCCTCGTTGAAAAACTGAAGGTCAGCTTTGTGTGTTACCTTTTTTCCAGTGGAGATCCTTCAGGGTTTGGTGAGTGGAAGCCTGGGAGGTGTACTTGGGCAAGCCATCAGCAGCCCTGTTGAGCAAGAAGTCATGGCTGGCCCTATTTCTCTGCCCCGGAGAGCGGAGACCTTTGGAGGGTTTGACAGCCATCAGATGAGTGCTTCCAAAGGTAAGCAGTCCTGACTCTCCCACACAACTAAAAATGACTTGTATTCTGGTAGCTCCATCTTGTCTGTCCTATTTAATCAATAAATGTTTTAGTGGCATTCTAAAACACTCAGTCATTGGGCTGGGGATGTGGCTCAAGCGGTAGCGCGCTTGCCTGGCATGCGCAGGGTGCTGGGTTCAATCCTCAGCACCACATAAAAATAAAATAAAGATGTTGTATCCACCGAAAACTAAAAAATGAATATTAAAAAATTCTCTCTCTCTCTCTCAAAAAACAAAAACAAAAACTCAGTCATGTTCATTTTGACTAACAAAAAATATTCTTCTGTGATCTCAGCTAAGCTATAGCCAAAGAAATAATAATATAGATTGAGCATCCCTAACCCCCAAATTCAAAATCCAAAATCCAGAACTTCTAGAGTGCTGAAATGATGCCACAAATGAAAAAATCCACACTTAGTGGATAGTCAGAACATAGGCATGCTAAAAATATTGTATAAAATTACCTTCAGTCTGTGTATAAAGGTATATGTGAAACAAATGAATTTTGTGTTTTGGCATGGTCCTGTTCTCAAGATAACTCATAACATGCATATATCCCAAAACCTGAAAAAAAAAAAACCCAAAGTTCAAAACATTATGATCCCATGCATTTAGACAAGGCAGGGATATTCAACCTTACTTGGTTTTCCTTCCTGCTTCTAGGGCTTTTGCATGAGTGAAATTACTAATAATGGTTTAGACTCCAAGTAGATTTTCCTTTGGAGGGCAGGGGAAGTATTAATACAATTCAGAAATATCATATCCCTAAATTATCTATATCATACTCTTTGCTTGGCTAGTCTCTTTCACAACTTAAAAACAACAACTAAAAACAGCTTTGTTTTTTATTTAGGAGGTGAGAAGGAAGAAGGAGATGATGGGCAAGATCTTAGGAGAACAGAATCAGATAGTGGTCTGAAAAAGGTATTTATTTCTAGAACACATTATATCTGAACCTCTTTGGCACTTTCCTCAGAATTCAAAACTTTTAAAATTATTCTACTTTAATCTTATTTTGGATGCTTGACTTTCTACTTTTAGTAAAATTTTATTTTGAGGGAAAGCACAGTATTCAAAAAGACTATACAATTGAGAATCCCACATCATTGGCGCTTTGTCCTCCCTGGTTTAGATTTATTTTAGAGTGTAAACACTTTGTTTACATTCTTAATTCCACCATCTTTCTGCCAGGACCAGTTTCATTAAGAGGTTTGTTTTAGCCCCCCCAACAAACCTGATCTCTTTATATGACTTCAGTAATAAATAGTTGAACCTTAGAACTATACTACCTTCCAGTGAGAGTAGAAAAGAAAAAAATAGGAAACTACAGTGTAACTTAGAAACACATTGCATATAACTTTTGCATCAAGATCATCATTTTTTAAATGTGTATTTTTTGTTTTAAGGGTGGAAATGCTAACCTGGTATTTATGCTTAAAAGAAACAGTGAGGTAAGGACATTATGAACTATATAAAAGAATATGTATTTCTAATCATTGTTAAGAATATTCTTTTTTGTTTTGCTGTTATAAACAAGCTAACTCCTGGCTATTATCTATTTATGAAAACCATACAATTGTCCATTTCCTCGGCCTTAGGCACTATCTTGGAATTTTGCCAGTGAAAGTATTGTCCTAAGGCTATTTCCAATTCTCTGTCCTTAAGAGCTTCTTGCTTTTCTTCAGCTTTCTCTACACAGGGCTGTGAAGCCCTATTGGTGATTTTCTTTAGTCCAAGTTCACATAGTACAATTTGTACTAACGTTTCCTATAACACAAACCTTATCCCAAAAGTCAAAAGTCTGAACATGGGAATTTAACTTACTGCATAGTAATATTTTCCTCTTTCAAGAACTAAAGTTGAATTTGCTTCTTTGAACACTGTCTTTCATGCAGTATGGTATGTGAAGGAGCAAAGTAAAGTAGCCTTAGGGTCCTCCCAGGTGGAAGTCTGACCCTGATGCTAGTCTCCTGTAACTGCCCTCAGCTGAGCTCTCTGCCTGACCCTGCAGGGTACCAGCACTGCTGTCCCTCAGACCCTCCCTGACTCCTTTGGATAAAATCAGCTTCAGAGTCACAGCTGTGTCCACGATTAGCTTATTCTGAACCTCTACCTTTGTGTGTAAGCAGACTAGAATCAGATAAAGTGATAGTAGCTTCTTTTTATGGGCGGGGGTGACGGACCAGAGATTGAACCTGGGGCATTTAACCACCAAGGCACATCCACAGTATTTTTAATTTTTTTTTATTTTGAGGCAGGGTCTTGCTAAGATTACTAAGGGTTTAGTGAAGTTACCAAGGATGACCTCAAACTGTGATCCTTCTGCCTCAGCCTCCCAAGTCACTGAGTTTACAAGCATGCACCACCACACCTGGTTGTGATAGTTGGGTTTCAGGGAGCACGTCTCAAGGATATTCTTTTAGTTTCTGCCTTCTTGCATTTAACATAAGAGCTTAAATCCCTGCAGAGCTTCATTTTGAATTTTTAAATTAAGGGAAATCATTCCTCCTCACCACCCCCACCCCCAAAAATGAACCCTATTGTATTTTGTTTGTTGGCATAAAGTCTAATATAGCAGTCACCTGAATGCATCCTGTTTGGTGTGTTTATTCCTGAAGTGGCAAGACTACTTTGTTTTTGAAGCATTCCAGTATAAAGTACATACTATAGTGGGCAGCTAGGGCAGATCTTCTGTCTTTCTAGAGTAAACTTAAATAAGGAATAAAAACTATTTTGAAAATAACTATGCTTGGTAACTACGTTTTGGGGTTTTGTTTTTAAATTTATCTAATAAGTATAATCCCACCATTGAGTAATAACTTGTGATAAATGTTTGTTTATATTTCCAACATTTTCTTCTATTTGATATGTCTCTGTGTATGAGTGTTGTGAAAATAGTTTTATACAATTTGTATAAGTACCTCTGGGTTTCGTCCTCTTCTTTTTTCTCTCAACACATCCTAGAAGCATTTCCCAAGGCATGTTTGTACAAAGCCTGGTATTGAAGAGCTGCATATTAATCAGTGTATCATATACCATAATTTATTTAATCTTCCTAGTAGTTATTTCTCTCTCTCTCTCTCTCTCTCTCTCTCTCTCTCTCTTTTAAATTTGGGTCAAGGTCTCTAACTTGTGATCCCCTGCCTTCCGAGTGTCTGGGATTACAGGCATATACCAATGTGCCTAGCCCACTTTGTTTTTTAAATAATGCAGCCAGGAACATCCTTGTACATACACTGTTTGCATAGTTTTTTCATTACTTCATCAACATGCCAGATTGCTGTCTGAACTGTTACACGATACCATACTCTACCCCTCAGTAGAATCCATTTTTTAATCTTAATTTCCCCAGCATGGATGTTAGCATTTTTTAAATTAACGTTTTGTTGGTTTGATAAATCCAGGTTTCCTTTCTTTATTTTATTTTGCATTTATTTAATTTCAAATAAATTATTAATTATTGTTCTTATGTTCATGCTGGAGATTAAACCCAGGGCTTCAGGCATCCTAAGCAGTACTCTGCTACTCTCTGAGCTATACTCTCAGCCCCTGAATTGCTGCTGATATTGTATGTAATTGACCATTGTATTTCTTTGGTAAATTGCTGGTTTGTGTTTCTGGCCCATTTTTGTACTGAGTTATTCTTTTTTTTCTTCTTTTTATTCTTAGTGATTTATGAGAGCCTTTTGTAAATCAAAGATTTTTTTTCATTTGAATTTGTGTTAAAGTTTGTCCTTCATGTTTGTGTGTGGTTTCTTTCATTACTTTGATGTTGAAAAAGCCTCCCCTATAGCTCTTTTATGGTTCCATTTTTACCCTTAATATATTCATCTATTTGAATATTTTTGTGTGTGTGAACCAAGGTCCCAACCTAATGTTTTCCAGAAATTTGGCCGCTTTTCTCAGAAAAATTAATTGGATTTCCTTTCCTTCTCTGGAGATTAGATATGCTACATATATACTCAGTTCTTTATTTTAATATATAATTTTTTTTTTTTTTTTGGCAGGAGGGAGGATACTAGGGATTGAACTCAGAGGCACTCAAATACTAGGCCACATCCCCAGCCCTATTTTGTATTTTATTTAGAGTCAGGTCTCACTGATTTGCTTAGCATCTCGCCATTGCTGAGGCTGGCTTTGAACTCAAGATCCTCCTGCCTCAGCTTCCCAAGCTACTGGGATAACAGGCATGCACCACCATGCCCAGCTATATACTAAATTCTTAGGGTTCGTCCTGAGACTTTCTATTCTGTTACATTGGTCTACATATCATTTTTGCTAGTCATTTTTAATAGTTGAAGCTTTATGATACATTTTAATAGAAGTATCTTGTTGTATTGTAAGGATGTCATGCCATCTGGTGTGATGGACTCTGAAATTCATGAAGTCATTTTGTTCCTTTGCAGCAGGTTGTCCAGAGCATTGTTCATCTCCATGAACTCCTCAGCACTCTGCAGGTACATGCCTTCATCTTCTGTCTGTGCACTTTCTTGTTTAGAGAACAAGAGTAGAGAGATTTTTGTTGACCTGAATCTTGAGGTTTTTGTGTTGCTTTATGAGTAAATGGGAGCCTCAACCTAGAGAAGACTGGCTCTTAAGGTGAGACTTACAAAATCCAGTGGTTGGAACACCATCAACCTTCCAAGACTAGAATTGATGAACAGCTGGTTGTCTGTGGGTCCTGCTTAATGACACAGGGTGCTTACATGCACTTAGGAGAGCATTTCACTCCAGATAGTCTCTAATTGTAAAGTTTCCACTTCCATACCTCTGTGTGCTGTTATATCCTTGAATCCTGCTCATTTCCTTCCTTGAAGAGTCAACCTCCCACCTGCAGTATATACATACTCTCTGCACCCTAGGGATGGAGGCATATAGAAGTGACTCTAGAAAGTATGTGACCAGGTTTGACATGAAAGTGAGTTCCTGCACCTTTGTCGTTCTAGAGCATCTTATTATCATATATCAGACCCTTAAAACACAATGGGAGGGAGGCTGGGATTGTGGCTCAGTAGTAGAGCACTTGCCTAGCACATGTGAGGCACTGGGTTCAATCCTCAGCACTACATAAAAATAAATCAATAAAATAAAGGTACTATGTCCAACTATAGCTAAAAATATTTTTTTTAATGGAAGGGTCAGTCTCCCATAGTGCCCCCTGGTATGAAATCAGCAGGACGCTGCTCTTCTGGGTCAGAGTTGCATGGCTGTCTGCTGTGTGCTTTCCTCAGGGTGTGGTGTTACAGCAAGACACCTACATTGAGGACCAGAAGCTGGTGCTGAACGAGAGAGCACTCACTAGGAGCTCATCCCGCCCCAGCTCCCTTATCGAGCAGGAGAAGCAGCGCAGCCTGGAGAAGCAGCGCCAGGACCTGGCTAATCTCCAGAAGCAGCAGGCACAGCACCTGGAGGAGAAGCGCAGAAGGGAGCGTGAGTGGGAGGCCCGGGAAAGAGAACTGCGGGAGCGAGAGGCTCGACTGGCTGAGCGCGAAGAGAAGGTGCAGCGCGGGCAGCAGGACTTGGAGAAGGACCAAGAGGAGCTCCAGCAAAAGAAGGGAACATACCAGTGTGACCTGGAGAGGTTGCGTGCTGCCCAGAAACAGCTGGAGAGAGAACAAGAGCAACTGCGGCGGGATGCGGAACGGCTCAGCCAGAGGCAGATGGAACGGGACTTCTGTCAGGTAATAAGAGTCTCTGTCCAGCCAGGAGAGAGGGCTTTTCCTTACCTGTACTAGGAAAGTCATGTAATGGCTGACATTCTTAACTAAGCATCATTTAAAAAGCAAGCAGAGAGAGAATCCCTGTTTTTACAGTCTTTGCTCTACTCTGAGATGGGGTTGGGGAAGAAGTGTCTTTATCTGCCTTTTGCATCTTTAGGAAGTTGAAGAGGAAGATGGACATGTTCAGGGGTTTGGGCCAGGGAAGTCAGTGAACCCTTTGAACTCACTTGAACTTCCTCAGCCAGCACCAACATGGGCTAAGTAAGTAGCCTCAGCATATCTGAGAGAATAGCAGTCAGCCATTCAGGATTTGGGGAGCAAATCCTCTGTCCTGTGCCACATGAGAAACCAGGCTTGGCCTCCACGTAAAGGAACTTGTAACCTGCTAGGGAAACACCAAGGAAACCCCATAACATGCAGTGCTGTGGCCAGGAGACAGCAGTAGATGGCTATCTGCACAGATTTGCTTGTTTGGGGTGGTGAGACACCTGGACTCTCAGGGCCTGATTCGTCCTGTACTGCTGTTGAAGACCTTTCCTCTTTGGTAGCTGCTGTTTACATGGAGAGGGTTTCAGTTGTTCAGCATACTGCCTCCCAACTTTATCTCAGTGATGGTTCACAGTTCTTCTGGAATATGGACACTTGTGCCAGATAGAAAGCCTGGGTGTGCACAGATCTCTTCGCTTTTAAAACTCATGTTACCCAGTTTCTTTGAGTGATTGACATGGGACCATGAAAGAAAATTGAAGAGGCATCTTCCAAAGTGGGGGCAGTGGTCACTTTCTACAGAAGTTTTCAGACATATGGTAGGGAGCAAGAAATGACTCTGTTGTTTTTTATGACCCAAGTATGGATTCCACCCCCACCCAATAAAATCAGCACAGCCTTGAGAACAGAAGGTTCCCAGGCAACTGAGATCCAATGGCTTTATCTCTGGTTTAACCTTTGACTAGGATCAGTGTAAGCCCAATTCATTTTACTTACCCTCTAACATAGACAGATCTGTAATCTCTGCTATGAAATAGCTAGATCCTTATGTAAGTCAGTGTTGAGATAGGCAGCTGTGCTTATTTCCTCTGGGAGTGGCAGTTCTCTCCTAAGCTGCCCCATCAGAGAGGTACTATTAATCCTTTATGATACTGACATGTAGAATAGATATTAATGGTATCAAAGGTGATATTTTTAACATGTTCATGGATACTGACTACTTGGAGGAAAGCAGTGAATGAGCAGTTCTGAATCTTTGGACAGAACTCTACATAGTCAGTGGGAGTGGGTAAACACCATTTGGATCCAGCCAGTAACTATTGAATGGGCACTAGGGCTGCTGATGGTCTCCAGCTTAAAATGCCTTCTCTTGAATATGTGCAGGTTTCACATCAGCACACCAAGCTGATGAGGATCCCATCCTTCTTTCCCAATCCTGAGGAGTCCTCACTGCCATCTGCACCTTCAGTAACCAAAACAGGGTCATTGGACTCAGAACTTTCAGTGTCCCCCAAAAGGAACAGCATCTCTCGGACACACAAAGATAAGGGGCCCTTTCACATACTGAGTTCAACCAGCCAGACAAACAGACTACCCGAGGGACAGAGCCAGGCCCCATCGTGCACCTCCACCCGCCTGTTTGGGTTAGCTAAGCCAAAGGAAAAGAAGGAGAAAAAAAAGAAGAACAAAGGAAGCCGCTCCCAGCCTGGTGGTAAGTCACCCATATCCAGTCTTCCTCTGGCCATAGTATCCATATTCTAAAAGAGGGGAGATTTTAGTGACATGAGGGTTTAAAAAGGGGATACAGTTCAGATGTATGAAAGCCAAGCTTTCATGCTCCTGAGCCCACTTGCTAAGAATGTTTGAGCAATGAGTGTATAAGAACCCCTTGCTGTGTGGCACACCCGTGCCCAGTAGAATGAGGTTTCATTTTTGTAGCATTCTCCACATGAGGAAGTGGAACTTGCCCAAAGGAAGTGATTCAGGTCCTCCCTTTGTAGGCTTCATCCATTAACTGGTTAAAAAAAATAGCATCAGATGGTATAGTCCTCAAGTGACTGTATAAAGTAGGTCCTACAAGCCCCTAAGAGAAATGAGGAAACTAGGCTCAGATTAACTAATGCACCAGCAGTCAGAGAGCCTGTGGTTGAGCCATGCCAAATGTCTCCCAATCATGTGCAATGTTTGCCCTGAATCCTTTTCTGTACCTTCCATTAGAATTGATCTTTCCCTTTTGTAGGCCCGTTTATAAACTCTAGTGATCATGTAAGTTATGGGGACAAGAATTAGCGAAGAAATCACTAAGGAGTTCGCTTACTACATGAGTGTTGAAGCCCCACTTGTAGAAAGTGAATTAATTGTCCACAAAGCCCCTGTCACCTGCTGCATCACAGAGGAAGTGAAATGAAAAGGGCAGCTTTTCCAGGATTTCCTTGTCATTCCTGGCTTTACTGTTCCAGATGGTCCGGCTTCAGAAGTATCAACGGAAGGTGAAGAGATCTTCTGCTGACCTTATCCTCTCTGCCGAGGCAGCTGCCTGCTGACTGGCTGTGGTGCCCAGCACCGCCTCTCCTGTTGCCCCAGCGTGCTCAAGTCCCTTACGCTGGATGTCTACAACTTTTCAGCATCCAGTCTTCCTGGTCTTCCCCAGGTCCTGGACAAGAACAGATTGTCTGAATGTCAGGGTGGGGAAGGAAACCCAGATTCCACTTCATCCATTATCTGTGACTGCCCAGGCTCACGGGTAGGGCTGGCCCTACTCAGGTTGTTACACCGAAAACAGTGGCCCCAGAAGTACAGGCAATGGTTTGGGACATGTCAGGAATTCCTAACAGCTTGAAAGAGTGTTTCCAAATGAGCTCTGAAACTCTGCCTTTTATTTTGGGGAACAAAACCAAAATCAAAAAACAAACTGACCAGATGGCACATGGTTATTCAGTACTTCATCCTGTTATCCTAATAGATGGAGTTCCCTTTAAACCACCCAGTGCACACATCACCCCGTTTTTGCATGTATTTCTCATTTTATTTTGGAAGGGATAACAAGCATTTGTGAAACCAGTTAGAGAAGACTTGACATGTATAAAAGGTACCTGATCTGTACCACCTTTATCTCATTGCCCCAGACTTAAAAAAAAAAAAAAAAAAATCCAGAGGAGCTGGATGGGGCAGCGTACACCTATAATCCCAGCAACTCGGGAGCCAGGATGATTGCAAGTTCAAAGCCAGCCTCAGCAACTTAGCAAGACCCTGTCTCAGAAATAAAAAGGGCTGGGGATGTAGCTCAGTGGTTAAGCATCCCTGGGTTCAATACCTGATTTAAAAAAAAAAAAAATCCAGAAGAAATATACTGGCTGTGCAAGATACTTGCCTATAGATTCTAGGCACAGAGAAGCCTCCTGTGTACTATAATCTGTGTGGTGACACTTTTTGGTTGTCACCACCCAGAATAGCCCTCATAAGGGCTCCCCCAGGGCAGCTGCTGTGTCTTGGTCCTCCCTGTGGGAGAGCACGTGCCCTGTCAGCAGAAGCCACCACCCGCTTGGTGTGCCAAGGCTCTGTGAGGTTGTCCTCCCAGCACACACACTAGGATGGCTGTCTGATAAGTAAGTTCTGGCAAAGAGGATAAGCCTACCTATAGCAGTTTTCAGCAGCGGGGACTGAGAAGGGGGTCTGCACCAGGCAGTGGCTGGGAATACTCATGTCCTCTTAGGAGATCTTGTCAGAACTCGGTTTTCTAAAAAATATTTTTAAATCTAAGGTTGCTAATTATGCTTTGCCCCTTGAAGATGTCACAATGCTGCCTGGTTTTCCTTCTCTCTTTCCACTGTTCTGTGTTTGCTTGAGGCTTTCCCTGCTGTTACATGCTAGACAGATTATTGGTAAGGTTTCCCTTGAGGCCCCAAATACTGCCACCTTGGTACTCCCCATGGAGGACACCCGGAAAATTCTGTGCTTCAGATGTGGCATACAGTTCTTGCTTTTTGCCCCTCAGAAGCATGTGGCTTTGAACATTCTTTTTAAAAAAGCAAACACAAATCTAACTTGGTGCTTGTTGATGAATTGCAAGCTGGCCTTGCAGATGGAGATATTTATCTTTCAGTTTATTTGAAAGAGGTCTGGTTTAGAATTTTTAGCCTAAATTTTATTTATTTGTGTGTGTGAGTGTGTGTATGTATGTTGTTTTGTTTTTGTTTGTAAGGTGAACCAGTACTAGCCCAACAGTTTATCTGGTCAGCACAGAGAATGAAGTAGCAGCTGGTGCTGTTTACTCGTGGCTGGTTGGCTTTCCAAGTGCCTTGAAGGTCCAGAAGAAAATTTAGGGTTGGGGCAGGGCTATAGCCCTTCCTCTCCTCCACTCATTCTTTTATTGATGTTGTCTTCCTTGTTTAGGAATTAGGAAACTTTGCCACCTATGAATTTCCTTTGCCTGTTTTTGTCATAAAAGAATTCTAACTTTTAAGAAACAAACTTCTAAGACTAAAGCCAGCTGATTTTTCTATTGAAACCATGATGTACCTCCCCAAAGACTCTAAACAGCAAAATGTTTTTTCCTCCCATCAGTCCACATATATAGCTGAAGCCTCTCCTGACTTTCCTCAGAGACACCACAGTGTCCTTATCTCTGGCCCACCTGGCCTTCACAGGAGAGCAGTCTTCAACCAAGACCTCTGGTTCTTTCCCATTCTTAGGTAGGACAGATGGTCCTGCTCTCCATGTTTGAAATGAAAGTGCTGATCAGATTTGCTCAGTCTTCCACAGATCACTTTGGATTCTGTAAGTTACTGTGCAGCCTCACACGGCTTGATTTCAATCTTCAGGTATAGTTTACTCCTTACTAGGTATAACATCTAGCTTGTTTTGGTCTATTAGTGGTTGTTTTTAAAAACATATTTCACCTCTGCCCACACCTAACTCAAAACAGTGTGGTCAGGTTCTCATTGGACAAATTGGGAATGAGAAGGAAAAAAAAAAAATCCCCTGAATTCCCCTACGTCACCCAGTATCCTGCTGGGAATATAGAAAGAGAACCACTTACCAAGAGCCGTGCTCTCACATGCAGACTCCATCTCTCTCCTTTTTTTGAATTTGGCCTCAAGGGGAATGTTGTGTTTGGGGAGCGACCTGGTATTGCTGCTGCTTATGCTTTTGCTTTCAACCTTGAGAACTACTCTAGCTGCTCTGTGTAGGTTTCTCTCCTGTGAAAAGAAGTGGTTTTCCAGGGACCACAAGTATTTCCCACACTAGTTCCCCACAGTAGGACCATCAAGCTAAAGAAAGCAGATGCCTGAAATTATGGAATTTCAAGGATGGATGGAATTACTACCCAGAATCCCCAGGTTTCCTAAAAGGAGACCACATCTTCTCTCAAAAATTACGATCATCTCAGTAGTTGTCATCCCATTTGGGTGACATGCACTTTAAATGCGCTCTCATCAGTTGGCACCGTTTTTGAGACAATTAGATGTGAACTGTTTTCTTTTTAGAAAAAGAAGAGGGTTGAAAACATGCAAGTTGCCACATCCAACCTTTGCCAACATTCCCTGTACCCTGTGAGAGCCATCTTGTGGGGAAGCATTAACTCCTCATCAAGATGTTTTTGAAAAGGTACGGACCTTGCCTTCTTTTCTCTTCCATGTCTCAGGGTTATGCCACTAAACGCTATCCCTTTGCTAATTTTCTCCCTTGTTTGTTATCTTCCCAAGGCCTTGGTGGTGGTGGTGGTGGTGGTGGTGATGGTAGCAGTAGTAGTAGTAGTAGGCGGCGGCACATGTTTTTGAGACCCTTGGGGTTTCATTTGTTCCTTTGTTGTGGGGATGGTGTTGATGTACAAGGGCTTAAATAGCCCTACCTTAAATAAAGGATGGAACCATAAGTTTTGTAGGTCAGAATTTGATTCAGAAATCACTCTCCATAAAAGTACTTACATTCTTTTGTTTCTAAGGCTCTTTTTCCAGCTCCAGTTCTTTCTTCCCAAGGATTTTGGTATTTGCATGACAGTTGTATCCGTAGGACAGTCAAGCCCTGGGAGTGGTAGATAGACGGACAATCCTAGGAAGTGGACTTGGTAGCCAGGAAGGTGACTCCAAGATGACCCCAGACACTGCAGAAGGGTGTTCCCCTCTGGGCCTGGGTGCCGTTTGCATGTGGAAGCCTACAAATGACCTGATCCCTGCCTTTATTCAATAGTACCTCCTGGTGGTCCCCACCAGCCCTGCTGCTCTCCCTCACCCTTCCTCAGAGATTTGAGAGGGCAAAGAGTTTGTTTGGGTTTTGTTCCTAATTTTTCTTTTCATTATAGCATAACATTCCTAGTTAACCAGAGCCTTGGAATCTACTACCTGCTGGCCAGGTTTTGAAAAGTATTTTAATGCTGCCATAAAAGGAAGGTGGGGGGAAAAAAGGCCTGCTCACATACTCGTATATTTTAATTTGTCAAAAACTGGGCAGGCCATGAATTATTTCTCCATCTCACTGAGATGGGTGGTCCTTACTGGCTGAGTGTCCACTACCAGAAGCGGATGACCTCCCTAAACCAGGTGGGAGCCACTGTGCCAGGGCCCTCCAGACCTCCCCCTAACATGAGCTGTCCCCTGCCTTTCCCCACCACCTGACAGATGGGTCCTCCATGCGCTGATGAGGGACAGCCCAGTCTGTCTGCCTATGATCCAGGTCAGCCTCGCTGTGTGCACTGCAACGCCAGGCCCTGCAGAGGGCGCCGAGGACACACCTGGCACCTCTGCTCGCCATGGCTGTTTCAGATGCTGTATCTGTATCTGTGCTAACTCCTAGTAAATAAAAAGGTGGGTTAAAACCCTAACGCTGTACATTAATTTGTAATTATGTATAAAAGTGAAGCAGGTTTAAACTTTAAAGATTTTTTTTCAGTGTGTTTTCTGGAATTTTGCCACAGCATACTGGCTTTGTATTTTATTTATCTTTCTTTCTAGTTACTGGCTTCAGACTCTTGTAAAAGTTCTCCTCAGCCCTTTCAAAAAAATAAATTTCCATTGAAGTCTTGATTGTTGCTGGGATTTGTTTCTTGTCTTGGGTTCCTGGTAAAAGAGGTACTCACCCCCTCCCAGCTCTGAGGAGAGCCTTTTCCCCAGCAGACAAAAGGTTTATTTCTATACCTTCGGCACAAAGCAGTGAAGAGGACAGTTTGACCCTCTCCTGGAGCCAGACCCAAATCGTGAGGGTGACTGATCTGCCCTGAGGTCAGAATGGAAACTTATTCCCATTTAATTAATGCAATCCAAGTGTTCCATGGTATTCAGTCTACTGTCTTCAAAGTTCCTTTTCCTTTCTTTGCCAAATTTTTCCAACCCATCCCCAAATGAGCAACTGCCAGAACTAATTCAAGAAGAGAACTTCCAGTTTGCATGTAGCTCCATAGGGATTTGTGGGGTCTGGTCTCAGAAGGCTGGTGGGGGTGGGGAGGGGGAGACTCCAGGAAACTACTGAGATGCACCATGTCCAGCGGCACTGGCTTCCTACCTCTCTGAGTCTGAGCCTACTGGAACTGGCCCTCTGGTGATACAGAAGACATGGCAATGTTGCCTGGAATCCTGGCTCTGCCCCTCCTCACCCCAACAACCGAAGAGTCCTGCCAGACTGTGACGGGTAGTCCCTTTTTCCATGAACTTGGAAGTGCACAGATTTCTTCACAGAGGCTTTTGTATCCCTGGCAATAGCCGCCTCTCCTTGAGGCAGGGGAACACTGGTCCCTTTTCACCCACTTCTCCGCCCTCCACTGTCACTGCAGCTCCAGCAGGACCCTCCCCCACTGAGCTATCCAGCTGGTCCCTTCCGTCCCACCCCCATCCCACCCAGACACCTCAGCCCGGCAGGAGGAATGGTTCCCATGGCCTCCCTCCTGGCTCCCCACTGTCGTTGGTTCTGAGCCAGACAGGCTCTGTCTGGGAAGCAAAAGGGGCAAGAAGGTTTCATTCTTCCCTTCCAAAAAGAACAACAGAAGCACAGAGCACAGAGGGCTCCAAGGATCCTAGATGACTGGCCATTCAGTGTGGGTGTGAAGTCTCGCCTGCCTAAGAAGGGCTGCTGTGCCCGGGGCCTCTGCGAGCCCAAACCTGCCCCTATGAAAATGCCCCATCCCAAGGGAAGGTGCATGGGCTGGGGGTGGCCATC